GTGTGTGTGTGTGTGTGTGTGTGTGTGTGTGTGTGTGTAGCACAGCCATCGGGATCCGCTGTAAGGATGGGATTGTGTTCGGGGTGGAGAAGCTCGTCCTGTCCAAACTGTACGAGGAGGGCTCCAATAAACGCATTTTCAATATTGACAGACATGTTGGCATGGTAACAAAGACACACACAAACACACATTAGGACAACAGTTTAAATGGATCAGGCTGTCTGACTCATACTGCCCCCCCCCCAGGCTGTAGCGGGGCTGTTAGCTGACGCTCGCTCTCTGGCTGAAGTGGCTCGAGAAGAAGCCTCCAGCTTCAGATCAAACTATGGACACAACATTCCTCTGAAGGTAAGACGTGGTCTTGGTTTGTCCTCCTCGTGTCTTCAGTCCAGAACCGGTCCATGTCCGCTGCGTGTTACTGTTGCCCCGCCCCCTCTCAGGTGTGACCTCTGTCTGTCCTGCAGCACCTGTCGGACAGAGTGGCCATGTACGTCCACGCCTACACGCTGTACAGCGCCGTCAGACCGTTCGGCTGCAGGTCGGTTCTGTTCAGACCCGGTGACCACCAGAACCTGGTGGTTTTCTCTTSAGTCTGTAATCTGAGTCCTGTTTGTTTGTCTCAGTTTCATCCTGGGCTCGTATGAGAARGACGACGGGCCGCAGCTCTACATGGTGGACCCGTCTGGGATCTCATATGTGAGTCGTTTTATTTGTACATGAAGGAAACGTTCAGTTAGAGATTACACAAGTAAATATATCAGGGTTCAGTACCTTATATTTAAGACCATCAGGGACAGGGGTGGGTATATTTAAGGTTTTATCGATACTACTACTGTTATCTTTACTGGTTATTGATCCGGTATTTTAACGGTTCTCTTATTGATACTTTTCTATTGGAATAAAACCAGTGTTTCCCCTTAGGGTGGTGGGGTTACACACAAAAAATAAAATAAAATACAAAGTTAGTGCATGTGACTCAGTGTGGGTCGGTGTTGGTCACAGAATATGAACCATATTTTATCAGATTTTTTCTTTGTCCTCCAAGTTTGACGTTTGGATGTGGAGGAACAACAAGCTCTGATCCTGGTGTTATTTAGAATAAATAAATGCTGAAACGCTGTGTGTGGGGGGGCTTGGTTAATGCTGGGGAGACGCTACAAACACAAAATTATGAATATGCMATGCTTTTACATTATAGAACTGAAAATAAAGCCACTTATTCCTTAATTTGCATTTAGCTACACTAACCTGGAGTCATGATGTAAATCCTGTCTGCAGATACAGAAGTTCAGTTGCTTCGTCTTTTTTCTATTTTAATTTTTCATGTCCTTGGTGACTCATAGATAATCCACAGAAAGATATGATAGTGACGTCGAGCGRTCAAYGCTAAAGTTACTCAATCGATACTTTAATTTAAACATGACGCTTTGTTCCAAATAAATGCTGCACCGGAGCATCCGGTCAGAGGCAGGTCAGATAATTATTAAATCGGCTCTGACTGCACAGCTTCAGATTCAACATGCTAACAACTAACTTCCATCGGCTAATTCTGTAAATACTGTGCTGAATGAATGAGACGGCACATAGTTTTCTGCACGTGGGTAGTGAGTTGCTAGTAGCATGTGTTGCTAGCAGCCAGTGTTGCTAGCAGCCAGTGTTGCTAGCAGCCTGTGTTGCTAGCAGCCAGTGTTGCTAGCAGCCAGTGTTGCTAGCAGCCAGTGTTGCTAGCAGCCAGTGTTGCTAGTAGCATGTGTTGTTAGCAGCCAGTGTTGCTAGTAGCCTGTGTTGCTAGCAGCCCCTCCCCTTCATGTTGAGGAGAGCTCAGAGGAAACAGGCTGCAGAGGGGAGAGAGGAAAACAGCTCTTTCTAAACAACATCCTGTCTGCAGTACGCCGGCAGTTATTTCTGGAGCTTATCGATCTGGTCAAAATTCATCACGTGGAACCAGTAGTGAAAAAATACCTGTTTTTTGTAGCATCCCTAATTAGGAATAACATTTAAGACCAAGAAATGTTTACATAGAAACAGTTTTTATCAAACTAAGCACTTCATAAAGACAGACCACWTCAACCTCTGATTACTGAGCTTTAGTTTATTTACGCAGCAACACTTCTCTGGAATGATCAGAAGTAAATAGATTTAAAACTTGACAAAATAAAATTTAAGAGCTTGGATGAAAATCTGGGTACTTTTAAGACTTTAAGCCTAACATTTAGGTTTTCAAATTTGAGACTTTTTAAGACCCTGAATGAACTTGATGAACCTGGAGTCTGTAAGTTTAAATGATCTGAAGTTTGTCGTGKTTCACCAACACCCGGTCTGTTCAGGGTTACTGGGGCTGTGCCATTGGGAAAGCCAAACAAGCTGCGAAGACGGAGATTGAAAAACTGCAGGTGAGTCCAGATCCTCAGAACCACAGGAGCAGAACCAGAACAATGAGTCCACTGAGCCGCTGCTGTTTCTGTTTCAGATGAAAGACATGACCTGCAGAGAACTCGTTAAAGAAGTCGCTAAAATGTGAGTGTGTTTTATTTAAACTAACGGCTCAGGATGTAATTAAAACAATTGTTGTGAAAGTTAACCCTTCACCTGTTCTCAGAATCTACATCGTTCACGACGAGGTGAAGGACAAAGCGTTTGAGCTGGAGCTCAGCTGGGTCGGAGAAGGTGAGTAACCCGTTTACTGAGGTCGGACCTCGGGTCCAGGCTGGTTACCACGGTAACGTCTCTCCTCCTCCTCCCTCAGTCACGAACGGTCGACACGAGTTTGTTCCCAAAGACGTCAGAGAGGACGCAGAGAAATACGCAAAGGTGAGCCCCACACACCTGAGTTTACCTGCAGGGTGCTCAGAGCTGAAACTGTTTGTTGTTTCAGGATTCTCTGGAGGAAGAGGACGACTCTGATGAAGATAACATGTAACTTGTCTGTTTTTATATTGTTCATCTTTCATGTTAGTTTTTTTGTTTTTCAAAATAAAAGTTTCAGGGTCACTTCTGCGTGTTGTTTTTAAAGCCTCAGGTGCGGTCAGATTGTGAACAAGAGAAACATGGTTAAAAACTTTATTAGAAACAGACGCTGCTTGTTGTGTACACACACACACACACACGCACGCACGCACGCACACACACACACACTCTCCTGCTCTAAAAGGATTTCTGTATTTACATCGTCGCTCTGAAACGCCGCCAGCAAAACACAAACAAAAATACATGGAGTTCATAATACTACAGTACAAAGAGTCTTCTCTTAGAAAATATTAGAAATCCTTTGTCACGTCGTGTAAAATTCAAATACAGGTGTGGATTTTTATTCTCTGTACAAAACCAACATGTTGAACCGAACGCAGGAAACAGAACCGAGGTCCAGAACAACGTCCCTGAAAACACAAAGTTCAGAAGTGCATCTGTGGGCAGAACCAAGTCACATCCAGTCAGCRGGGGCTTTACATCCTAATTCTTCTAACGTCACGTTTAGTTTCACTGATAACGAAAATCTGTCTGATTTTACTGCTCAAACATTTAAACAGAACTCACTTCAGATTTTAGTCAGTTCAGAACAATTTAAATGTTTTTCTTTGCACAAAATTCAAATTTTAAATAAAATCTGAAAGTTGCTGGTGAATGTAAGAATTTAATTTTTCTTTTTAACCTCCAATAATAAATTAAACTTGTATTAAAGCCAAAACGCTGAACGACCTGTAATTTCCTTTATAAAACGAAATGTACAAAAACTCAACTTTTACCTCCCGTCTTTTCAAAATAAAAGCTCTGATTCTGTTAAAGGAACAAAAGAAGCTGGATGTTGGTTTATAAAGAAGTGAACAATAAATTAAAGAGTGGAGGGATGGTTCAGGGTTCGTTGACCTTTGACCCCTCCTGACTCCGCCTTCAACGCACAGTAAATTATCGTGAAATGAGGAGGCGRAGCCCTGGAAGGAAGGAGGAAGAARAAGTTCTGGATCCGCTCAAACAAAGCCTGCTCTCGTCAGCCTACTCGAACAGTGAGTTCTCAGGTGAGGGGGCGGGGCCTCTTTGTGCTGCCACACGCGGAGGAGTGGCCAGTTCCCATCAGTCCCAACTGGGAGCCGTTAGCGTGTCCCTTTCGCTTGCTCGGGGCCTGCGTAGTGGGCGGAGTCTGTGGTGAAGGGGCGGGGGGCTGTGGGAGGAGCCTCGTGGGCGTATCATCACCTGCACTCCACGGCCACAGTGTTCTGAGTGGGAGAGGCCGAGGTCGGACTCATGCCCGTGTCTGAGGACCCCGAGGAGGTGGACACCGTCGTGTTGGACACTGAGGAGGACAAACAACCAATCAGAACCCAGACAGAAACAAACAGGCGGGTCAAATTACTCATTTAACTCGTTAACGTCACACTTTAACACTGTCGTTCACAATCATTCACACTATTGATCATTTCTTCTGTCCGGTTTTCAGCACCTAACAGTGTTTCAACAACCAAACGTTCAGCTCATTCGGCTGCTTTGACTTTTGGTATTTCAGCTTTTTACACTTTTTCAGCTATTTCACTTTTTTAGTCACTTTTCTGTGACTGAAMATGAATGCAGCTGTTTTCAACATCCTTAAAATAATTTAAAATGTTTCTAAATCTTTACAGCACATTTGGTTCTGGTTCTGCTCATTTTCACATTCTTGTGTTAATTTTAGCTACCTTTTTTTWTTGTTGCCAATTTTAGCTTTTTTCTGCTATTTCAGCTAAAATTCTGCTTGTTGCTAGCCTTTTTCTACTTTTGTGTTTTTTCTGCTACTTTGTACTATTTATGCTTCTAACAGATGCCTTCTGCTATATTCAGCTATTTGCTGCAATTTTAGCTAATGTTTAGCTGCTACTAGCTAAAGTTAGCTTTTCTAAGCTAACCACTTTTTTTGTAGCTATTAAAACTTTTTGCAGTCAAGTTCAGCAAACTTGTGCTCCTTATGCTTATTAATTTCCAGCTACTTTTTAGGTGTTTTACTGAAAATTTCAGCAGTTTTAGTTTTTGAACTACAAATTGTCACTTTTATGAAACTTTATGATTTTTTTCTCTTTTATCTATTTTTCCACTATAAACATTTCAACTGGATGCTAATTTCAAATTGTGGCTGCTATCTTTAGCATATTTTATGCTAATTTTATGTTATTTTATCATATTTTTTTTCTGCTACCTAGTGCTATTTATGCTTCTTACAGATGTTCTCAGCTATTTTAGCTCTTAGCTCTTAGCTGTTTTCTGTTTTCAACTAGATTTGTGCTCCTTTTTACTGTTTTTCTGCAAAGTTTTATTCCTTTAGCTTTTCAAAGTGAGCTTACTTTAACACTTTTCCTATTAAATATTTTCAGCTCATTTTCAGCAGCRTTCACTTTAAGTTTTCAGCACRAAGCATTTACATTAGCATGTTTGCAGGAAATGCCATTTCTCTAGTTAATCCAGAGGTTTTAGATTTAACCAGTTATCAGGTAAAATTTAATGAATATAACAATAAGCATGTTTTTAACTCTGTGGTTCAGACTGGGGTCAGGATTTCCCAGCATGCACTGCTGCTCGCACCTTCTCTCTCCTTCTTCTTTAGTCTCTTCCTCCGTCTGTCGATGGAGGCCACCTCAGACTTCAGGCTCAGGTAGTACTTCCTGATCTCCTGCAGCTTCTCCTGCAGGAAGGAGATCCTCTCTGTGCTCGACATGCTGTCCAACTCGTCTGAGGAAGAGGAGGTCAGAGGTCAACCATTCTGTCTCTAAAACCAGAGGTCCTGCCACAACTGTTGATTCAAAGACGTCTTTAGGACGTGGGGTGTGGATCAGGGTCTCAGAGACTCAGGAGGCTTTTAGTTCCACACGTCTGATTTAAAACAACACATATAAGAACCAGGATCAAACATTAGGGTGACGAATAATGTCTGACATCTTGACTCTGTGTAGAGACAGTCATGGGGCGGAGTCAGGATGCAAAGAGGTTCTGCTAGTGCTGGACCCAGTGTGTGTGTGTGTGTGTGTGTGTGTGTGTGTGTGTGTGTGTACCGAGCTGCAGTGTCCACTTGTAGGAGCGCTGAGGGGACGGGGAGTTGTGTTTGTCCTTGCTGTGAGACGACGGGGACGACAGGCCGAGACATCGGGACTTCTGAGACTTGGACACCGAGGAGAGACGAGACTGGTCCTCGCTGTCACTGCTGTGTCCTGTGGAGACAGACGGGGGGTCAGAGGTCAGAGGTCCTTCATGTGACCTGATGCTGCTGATGGGGGCGTGGCCTCACCTGCTCCGTTCTTGTCCACCTTGGCGGGGGTGTGGGTGCGTTTTTGGTTGCGTTTGTGTTTCTTGGCCGACGGGCTGGAGTCGCAGTCGTTCAGTCTCTTCTGACCTGAGGGGTCAAAGGTCACAGGTTAGAGCACAAACAGGACCAGATCAGGGTTCATGCAGGGGTCAGGAGGTTAAGCTCAGACCAAACTGACACAATAACATAAAATGATCCCAGTAATTTTACCTTAGAAACCTTTTATTGTTATTAATTTAACTATTAAAGAATATTTAACTTTAATACATGAACACTAAATTATTTTAATGAAACACATATCTGTAGCTGTGTTTCCACTGACCATGAAAATGCACAAATTAGAAT